AATCAACTGTCTCTTCGCTCTTCGAATAAATTTGTACCATGAAACCAATTTATTCCTTATTAAGTTTGAATTTAAATTTAATTGAAAAAATAACTGACAACAATCCTAAATTTACAATTGTCCTGGGTCAGAGCGGCTTTCTCCAGTTCGCTGATCATGGGAGTGTCGTAAAGTTGTATGTAAGCGTTACGATCTACCTGCACGTATTGCAAACTTCCACTATAGCACACATGATCCTTGGTAAAACATACACATGCTTGAAATTCTAGTCAACTATTTAACATGCATTTACCTCAACTTCTCATTGGTTGATGAATAAACATTGAAATATATCAGTTAAAAACCTTGAATCTCGACGGTTTGATGGCAAAGCAGCCCCAGGTCGGTCAATTGACTTCACTGAAAAATTATTGTTTTAATGTTGAAGTATAGTATTTATTTCACAGTAATATATACCTTCTAGTGCGGCGAAGGCAGCTGTGGGGCCAATCGCACAGAAACTTCTGTATGAGCACAAAAGTGTCGGGATACATGATTGAAGCTATTTCATCCATAATACTTTATTGAGAGCAAACCCATAAGTCCATAGGTGAAATTATATTGAAATAATTCAAGATTAGCTAAATTTCAAATTCCAACAAAATTAGATCATTCCTAGGCCGTTTACAGAATTTAATTGTGATGAAAGCTGGAAATTTCAGATCATCTACAAAACAGCTGAGCGGTGCACCGGCACGAGTTTTCGGCTCATGGTCAGGATTGCCAGATGAGCCTATTCAGGCCAAATTAGATTACATGTGGCCTTTCAATAGCATTGTCCGACAAAAATGTATAAACAAGTTTTACGCACCCTTATTTTTAGTGAATAAGAACCAGGTAAATTTATTATTGTTGCTCTAAAAAATTTAATTTATAACTTAATAAAGTCAGAACTGCGGCCAGTTCTTGCTTTTTATGGTGAGTGGATTCGGCATTTTTCCCTCGCAAACATCTGGCAACCCTGCAGCCACCCGCTGGCAGCCTGGCCGCTGCTCCTCGTCGTCGTCTTCACTCGTCAGTCTAATCTCGGTAGCGGCGGTGAGCTAGCATTACGCACAGTAGAAGACTGGGCCCTTTGAAATTTGTCTGTTGCTTCATGCTAACCCGTAGTGAGTGTAATAGAAACAAATGCACATATTTAGTGTGTGAATTGTTGAAAAACTTGTGAATCGTTTTTCTGATGAAATGAATCTGGTATATAGAAGGTCTGCGACATAAGTGCTGTGGTGACTTGACTGGCATTGAGGTTAGTGTTCCAGCCCAGCCTACTCAGAGAATGGCTGTCTGATCCTGTGTCCTGTTACGAGAAGAAAGTCGTGAATAAATCATGAGCAAGACGGTCTGGTTCTGGTACCAGGAATTACTGATGATTTTCACTGCGGCGATTAGAGATCAGCGGCCGGATAGCGTTGCTGCAGTTATTTATTGCTGTGCTCGTATGTAGCAGACATGTGCATATGAGGCATTTGATGGAGAGTTTAAAGCAGTTAAGGGTGGCCTAAAAATTGGAGTGAGAAAAATTAGTAATATCAAATCGAGTGTACAAATATCCAAAAGTATTTTGGATATCCAATATCCCCAAAAAATATCATACAAGATCAGTTATTTTTTTGTTGACTCCTATCATTTTTGTGTTCAATAATAGAAAATTATAAATACTTGTTTATTCAAAAATATAATATAATAAGAAATGTACATAGAATAATATCATAACATTTATTATCAGCATATAATAATTCAATAAATAATAAGAGTTGAATATTATAATACTTTTGCTGTTGTACCGGTCGGGTGTTAAGACGTTGAGTCAAGACTCAAGACCCGAGTTTGTCCCAAGTATCCCCATCCTAATAAGTAATGCAGAGACGGGAAGTGCAGTGACGGAAAGCGGTGACCATTATTACTCGTCAGTCGAACTTTTGCTTCTAAAGAACGCATCGAAAAAAAAATCCTTTTTTCAAATATCTTGAGCAGCAGTTTCTAACCACTGAATCATGTCATCGTTTTTTTATTACGTACATTATACTTTATTCTTCTTTCCATTGCCAAAAAAGTTTCATTGTGTTAATGTCTTCTTGATAAACAATGAAAAATGGAAATAGAGAATAATATTGAGTTGAGCCAAGTTCGTGTTATTTCAGTGATCGAAAACTCTATATTGCCAATTTATAATCTTCATTATTGGTAATTTATGTATTTTAACTTTGTCACACATTTTTTCATATTTAACATATTCACAGGCAGTTAGGTAACTTGCCATATTCTACAACCCTCACTTTATATGACACCATTTTATCAGTTATTGGGCGCTGTCGCTTACAAGCTGAAAAATCAGTTCACTCATTGTAATTAATGGCTCATATTGTCTAAAAAGTGACACTGGTACGTCTTTTTGCCGAGAAAACTGAGTCAAGAAGGCCCACACAAGGGCAAGAAGTGTATCACTATTTGGACAAAGTCTGTTGATTTCTCTGAGTGTTCCCGACAAGCTCCTCAAGATAACGTCACCTCACAAGTAACATCGTCGGGCCTGTCAGCTGCCGTATATCAGCAGAGGCACCGCATATAGGCCTATTGTGATCGTTTGTAAGCTGATTGCCTTGTTTAACTATTGATTCTAAAACTCAAGCTTTATAAAGGGCACTTGTAGGCATTTCAGTTCAATAATTTTATTCACGAAGCAGGTTAACCAGACTTATAAAATTGGGTAAAAGTTGGCATAACGAAAGTTCATCCAGGATTAAAGCTTCTTGATTAAGTAATTCGGAGCACTGTACACGTACAAGTTAGCGTATCATGGATGCAATAGGAATATACTGTATTCGGCGCCACGTGTCTCCTTCCAACTGACTCTCCGACTATCCTCTCAACAACCTACAGTTTCCGTTCTCTAATTTGACGTAACAAAACAAGTCCAGATATTTCAGCTTAAATGAAGCTGTGGTAAATGCTTTTTCCGACAACATCAGATACTTCAGAAATTTAAAAGCGAAGAAAACACCACAAATATTCAGCATATCTCTATTGAAAACGTTTTGGAGACCAGCTTCATCGTCAGTTCGATAAATCTAGAACACAAATAAAGTCAGAAAATTAATAAAGTTCAGAGTAACAAAACACAGAAATTAAAAACCTAGATTACAGACTAAGGACCGAATAATAAAGTAAGTACCTATCTATTCACAATTTCTAATGGAAAAGAACTATAGGCAGCATTCAAACTAGGCTTCTCTTTAAAAATATACAATGATTCCAAAATACGCAGATCGGAAGCACCAGAACTATAAGCTAAAACCTTAGAGTCTGTGTCGGACACTGGAACGTTGAACTGTTCGGCGTGAGTGCGCACAGCCGAATGAGGAGTGCGCGATAGTAACTGCCCAGTTCTATAACTCCTCCCTCTATGCTCAGCGATCCTAGTGTAAAAGTTGCGTGCCGTCATCCCAACGTACGCAGATGCACATCGTGCACAGCTAAATTTCTAAACTAGGGATGCTCGCAGTTGAGAAGGGAGGATATCTTTGTACCTAAAAAACGAACCTATTTGAAATTATTCCGGACATTAATTTTCGTATCTTACTTGTGAATAATTTCAAAATAGGTTCGTTTTTTAGGTACAGAGATATCCTTCCTTCTCACATGCGATCCCTCCATCCCGTACGCTGGGATGACGGCACGCAACTTTTACACTAGGGTCACTGAGCATAGAGGGAGGAGTTATAGGACTGGGCAGTTACTATCGCGCCCTCCTCATTCTTCACATGCGATCATCCCTAGTTTATAAGTTTAGTTGTGCACGGTGTGCATTACGTTGGAATGACAGAATGCAACTTTTACACTAGGGTCACTGAGCATAGAGGGAGGAGTTATAGGACTGGGCAGTTACTATCGCGCCCTCCTCATTCAGCTGTGCGCACTCACGCCGAACAGTGCAACGTTCCAGTGTCCGACACTGACTTTAAGGTTTTAGCTTATAGTTCTGGTACCTACGATCTGCGTATTTTGGAATCATTGTATATTTTTAAAGAGAAGCCTAGTTTGAATGCTGCCTATAGTTCTTTTCCAGTAGAAATTGTGAATGGATAGGTACTTACTTTATTATTCGGCCCTTTGTCTGTAAATTTAGGTTTTTAACTTCTGTGGTTTTCACTCCGAACTTTATTAATTTCTGACTTTATTGGTGTTCTAGATTTATCGAACTGACGATGGAGCTGGTCTCCGAAACGTTTTCAATAGAGATATGCTGAATTTTTGTGGCGTTTTCTTCGCTTTTAAATTTCTGATGAATCTGCGATTAAAGCAATCTAGTGACATTATTACATCAGATACTTGCATAGCAGACGCAAGTTAGACATGCCAGTCAGTAAATTCAATCTTGATATAAAGGATGGTAAATAAATTTCTTCGTGTTTAAATCCACCAAAGAAGTCCACTAATAACAGCAATGTAAATTGTTTATGATAACATTTTTTATCAGCGTTTATAGCCGACTCGATTTTGGAATTAAAAATGTAAACACGAAATTGTTTATGTAATTTTTCAAGGAAGTGCACGGAGAGGAATCAGCGCTCATAGCGCCAGCATGAATGTGCGCCTTCGGTGACTTTCATGACTAAAATATTTATTTCCTGTTTGTACGAATACTGGAACGATGGGGGGAGACCTCTCTTCTGTAACTAATTGAAAATATGAATTAGCGGGAAGATTCATGATGATGTCTGGAACCGGTGCTTGATCAGCTTCCCATACAACCATTTTGTCACGCGTTATCAATGATGGTTCCTCTATTTTTAATTCCAATCAAAATTTTATGGGATGAAAAATTAGTGTTATTGTAGATAAACGAGTACAGGAAATTTGCCTTGTAGACAGTACAAGTTTCAGTAGTTTATATAAGATTTACATCCATGAAGCACCACGTTTCAATGTTGAAGTTCAGGTTTCAAGCAACATAGGAGTTTATTTAAGCGTCTTCATCTCTCACCTATTTTAGGATTGAGGAAGGCTACACTAGACTTTATTTGCGCAGTAGCATCATAACTTCTAGGTTAATTCGAATGAAACGAGTTGTCTTTTCTTGGAGGAAAGAAGTTATGTCGACAAAACAAGCGTATTAGACCAACAGATGCTGGATCACTGTCAGTCAGGTTTGTGTGAACTGTACTTTTTTTTGTTGAAAATCACTCACTAATAGTTACACGAAACTTTTAAACTCTTCACAAGATGGCAAGTGCGACGATAGAGTGCGACGTTTGTAACGAGAAATTCGACTCGGGCAACCACAAGCCACTTTGCCTCGCATGCGGCCACACGTTTTGCTTCTCTTGCATTACACGGTTATGCAATGTTCGCGAAACCAAAAATTGTCCGAAATGCAGGGAACCAATTTCCCAAGATGCTGATCAACTGCCAGTTATCTTCGCATTGATTCCAACCAATGAGGAATCACTTCCAAGCGCTGTGGGTTCACCGTCAGAAGCGCTGTGTCCCCAGCACCAGAAGGCGCTGGATTACCTCTGCGTGGACTGCAGTGAATCCGTGTGCTTCACCTGCAGCAGGGGCACACATGCCACACACAAAATAGAGATGACAGACGACCTGCTTCAGGATACCGAGAACGTTGATGGCGTCTGGGCGAAAATACGGTCCACGTTGCAGAAAAAACTCGATAGCGTTAGTTCGGTCGTCACGTTATCTGATGGTTTATCGGGCTTTATTGATGACATCATCAAACTGAAGCCTGATTTTGATGGCTGGAGGGATCTGCTGTTGGCCCAGAAAGTGTCCACTGAGCAGGACCTCAAGGCTTGGAATGCCTCGGTCACCAGACTGGATGGCATCAAGAGACTCGATTGCAAGGAAATTCTCTGCCGTCTGAAATTGAACTTTGGAGAAAATGGAAAGCTACCTGAAATTAAGGCATTACTGGATGCTGCCGCTAAAACAAGTGTTTCGTTAGAAGTTAGTGAAATATTTGCTATAATACAGGGATATTTACGATGATAATCTTGGGATCATACATGTGATTGTATTGAAGGCATATACTTGCCCTGATAGCTCAAAATTTAAATGCCAATGCTTCTTTGATATCTATTTTGACGAATAAGCTTATTTTAAAGAGTGCCTCCGATCGCGTCTTGTTCGTAGCGTTTCACTGAGAAAAAGCCGAATTATTTTGTTCGAGTTTTAATTTTTAGCCTGACGCATGAAAATATTGTTCGATCGCGTATTCAGCCTATCTCATATAACGCCGCGGTGAGGGCAATTTTTTTCCAACAGAAAGTCAAACATATAATTTGGTTGGCATTGATGAACTTGTGAATTATCAAATCAAATTATCAGAGGAAGCCTAATCTTTAGTTTGTGATCTATGATGAACAAACAAAATTATAATATTAATAATATTTTGTCTACAAACGGATATTTAGCGTAATAATTAGATGTTTCTTGTTTCCTACCTTTGGGAAGTTTCTGTCTGGTAATAAAGTTACGAATATCTTTGTCACAGCCTTTCTGAAATTTCGTTCGGAATAAAAATATATGAATTCCGGTATTTACCTTGTATCGCAAATAACCCTTCCATTCTAGCTATCAAACCACATTTAAGTATATTGATCGACATCTTAATGATAGCCATACTTATAATATTGGCCAGGTCAATAATGCCCTACCAGTCAAGTTGTGTAATAATGAGTCAAGACTTAGCAAAACTTCAATTACTTGAAATTATTTTCAGGTATTAAAGAACAATACAAATCCTATTACTAGAAATAAGAATGTTATAATGTCTCTAAATTCTAAAAAATGATCTGATTGGAATATTCCCTGCTCTACAGTTAGAGACGTGCGAGGTCATGCCGATTGGCAAACCTTGGATCATCGCCAGCAGCGATGAAGGAGAACGAGCCCTTGCAAGCCTGGCCAGCAACAGGCAGCCCAGTCGCCTCGTGGTGCTGTCCACCCACACCCGCCCCATCCCGGGGCTGGGGGAGCTGCTGTCCCGCCTCGCCGCCCACCACACCGGCGACATCAGCCTGCTGCCCCTGGACTTCTTCTGGAGGCCGGCAGGAGAGGCGGAGGGAGGCATGGGAACTATCGTTCATAATTTACGGTGGGTCTGTACTCTCATAAATTATCGCATTGTTTGAGAGCCTAAAATAATTTTGGTTGGGCGTGTTTTCTCCCAAGTTCCTGCATTGTTTTGGCCCCCGAATACAGTTCACAATTCGTGCTGCTATTGCAGCACTTCAGCCTTGTCCGTGACGGATGCCAACAAATAATCTGCTAGAAAATTTAGTATATTCCTATTCCATGTTCCTACTAAAGTCAAACTGTAAATAAATTTGCAAACAATAAATATCACAAGGGTGAAAAATTTTCTAAGTCAGAAAGTACCGAAATGCTTGAAAAAAATCAACTTCAAAGAAATTTCTCACATACTTCTCATGAAATCTCCTCAAATTTTGATAATCCTTTACCATGAAGAAATCTCATTGTTTTTCAATGTTATATCTTTATATTCTATATGTTTATATTTATATTCATTTCATGTCAGTGGACGGCTGACTGCCTTGTACTGCTCCCCCTACATAGTCCAACTGGATCTTTACCACTCCACCATCAAGAAGTACAACATTCGTCTCGACTGCCCATCCGATGTACTGTGGTTTGCTAAATTGCCTAGACGTACTATCAGTGAGTAATTCATTATTTTTATGTATATTCGTTCATATATCCATATTCTTTTCTCATAATTTTATAGCCTCCCAAACGACTATATTTTTGAAGCCGTATGGAATTTTTTCAATCATTGTCATCTTAAAGAAACATGGCAATATTAGATGTTAAAATAATCGAAATCGTTCGAGGAGGAAAAAATTATACACGCATTTATTTTTATTCTATACTTATTTTTATATACTTATTTTTGAAACTGATAGGAAGTGTATAAGAACTTTATTTGTTAGTTGAGAGTTATTTTAGAAGAAAAATAATTCAAGAAAAATAATTCCAGATTTAGAAAAATAATTCAAGTTGAATTCAAACGAAAATAGCGAGCTATTTAGCAATTGAAAGAACTGGTATCAAGACGCAAATGACGAGAATTTTAAAGACGTGATTACTAATGTGATTGCTAAATAATAGCGTACAATTTTAATGTTGATACAATTCGGTCAACAGCAAATGTATGCTGCGCCAAGGGCGTCCCGAACAACGTTGGCACTACCTTAAAGGATAGCGGTGTTGAGGTCACCCGCTGGCACTTTCCCGACCTCAAAGATCAGGACGTGGACTGGTTGTCACACATCCTGTCATCATATTCCGACAACCGCCATCAAAGGTATGTGTTTTACAGTACGATTAGCACACGTACTACAATATATGTACTTGAGTTGCATGCTAATCCATGCGATGCCATGTGTCACACATCTTATTCTCCTACCCCGTAACTGCCATGAAGAGTATGTGTCGTTCAGTTCGATCTTAATATCCCCATGAGTTACATTATAACCATACCGCTGGCAAGGGATAAGGTCATTATTATTATTTTCTCGCAATTCGAAACCAAACAAAATTGAACCGGAATCTTGAATGTTACTGATTGTCAACCGTATTCCGCAGCGAGACACTGTCGAACACCAAAAAATGCAAGCAAACTAAAATGTGTTGTAATACTTTGTTATTGTAATGCCTATACTAACTTGAGCTGAAATACACGTATCGATGCTCCTAAGGTGCTCTGAAGTACACGACTCAATGCAAAATTGATTTCATCAAGACTCGATAGAATTGAATGCATAAAAACTCAGTATAAAGTTCAATTCGCCTGATGCAGAGCTGCCCGTATCACCCAGCGTATATAGAATGTTTGCTCGTATTTGACAGTCCCTTTAATTACGACGTTATCGGGCGAAGCTGCAGGAGGGAAAAGTTCAGCGAATACTCATGATGGGAAGAACATTTTCGTCACATACCAACCGCATTTTTTGTATCCTTGAAATATGATGTTCACCCTCTGACGTTTACGAACCTAAACTTAAGTAAGTATATGATTCATACTAACCGGTTACTTTTTATTTACGTCGCATCGAAATAGCACTAGCCACAAGCTGACAAAACATGTAAATTTGTTACCATTTCTAATCTTTCTTTGCCGCCTTGATCTAATATGTAAAGTAGGCGACTGGTTCATTTTATCCAATATTTTTTAAACTCCATTTTTGACGATTCATTCGTGCATAATATTGTGCAAAACAAAATTACGAATGAGTTTTCCTTGCAATTCGAAATAAATATCGTTCTGTTATTTATTATGTACCATTCCAGTGTGGAGCTTGTCCTCCCGAGGGATCATCTCTCTGCCGTAGGCGCTCGTCAGCTGTTTCAGAAGATACCGAATATTCGGGTGTTGTACCACGAGCCTAACGCCTCGCACCTCACGGCAGCTTGTAGGGATGTTCACGCTGCTGCGGACTGCATCGAGTTGTCAACTACCAACATTCTTCAATGGATATAATACCTTCATCAAAAGTTAGGGTCAGACAAGAAAACATAATCAACCACAACTGGAAATTTTCATTTTATATTTAGATTTTAATTCACATGAGGTTTCTAAGATAATAAATATCATTTGAGAGCGAATAAATTTAACGGCGTAGAGGCCTTCATTAATGAGCATTTGTATTTTCACAGCATTAGTTCCGGCAGATAATTGGTAAGCTTTTTTCTGAACAATTTGCATGCAGGTTCATGCAATTACTTTATACCTTTTTCATAGCATTCTTTTTAAACATTGAGCAGAACCTGTGTTTGTGTATCCTTTTATATTCCTCCATAGCGATCCCTGGTCATGAGTGAGACGCCGCTTCAGAGGATGTCAGGCAATGACACACCAGGCATTTCATTGCATGTAAACCCGAAAATCATTACACGGCTGCTTTTTAAAATAGATTCTTTTCGAATTAGATGAATTGATACTAAAGTTTTAAGATTCGAGCGGATGAAACCGAACCACGGTGAAAATTCCCCACCACAGTTTATCAGTTTGAAAACAGTATAATTTCTATGCACACTGAAACATTCCATGGCATTAGCGAGGAGCAACTGAATGAGCAGCCTTAGCGTTGTCAGCTGACAGCGCGAAATAAACTGATTATAGTTTAGATTCTTGGGTCGCACTATTACACAATTTGCGATGCGGTCGCTCAATTGAACCCATTTTCTCACACCTCGCTGGTCGATTTATGGCAAGTAGGAAGAAGATGAAAATTTTCAATTCCACTCCACAATCAATTTATGATTCATTTTCCTAGCGGTTTTAATGCTCAGAGAATGAGCGCAAAACTCGCCACAGCAACACGTAATTGCTTTGTGCTCAACAAAGTGCTTGGCTACGCTAAAATTAGGCAACCATCTACGGACGGCAGCTGCTTTATGGGCAGAAAAATTAACTCATGCGAGATAGAAATTATATTTAGAAATATTTTAAAAATTCCACATTCCTGTTGTAAAGTTACAGAAAATATTTCAGGCGCAGAAAATATTTTGAGGGGTTACGGCGAAAAATCTGAATGACAGTCTTTTTCCACTCATATCCCGGAATACAACGAAGACACAAGCAATAACCTGTTATTGCAGGAACCGGAACTATTGTATATGTACTATTTGAACGTATCTTTCAAGTGTAAACTCGTCCCTCATTGCTCGCCCGTAGCGATCCACGCATTCGAGGGCCCCCACTCCTCCGACTGCCTCCAATCATTCGACGGCTCTTACTCCTCCGACTGCATCCAATCATTCGACGGCTCTCACTCCTCCGACTGCATCCAATCATTTCCAATCATTCGACGGCTCTCACTCCTCCGACTGCCTCCAATCATTCGACGGCTCTCACTAGTCCGCCTGCATCCAATCATTCGACGGCTCTCACTCCTCTGACTGCCTCTAATCATTCGACGGCTCCCACTCCTCTGACTGCCTCCAATCATTCGACGGCTCTCACTCCTCCGCCTGCATCCAATCATTCGACGGCTCTCACTCCTACGACTGCGTATACGCATTCGATGGCTTCACATCGCACAGGCTAAAGACAAACGAGTAAGATTGTTCCACTCCTTGTGTATGACACTTCTCTGTTCGGCAGTTATGACCAACGCACTCCTAAGTAGTAAATCATTTCCTATCTAACTTCTTGTTAATTTCGTTCATTCCTCTGACGAGAAAAACAATTTCTTCTTTGAATAATTATGCACATTTCTTTTCCTAGTACGCTTACTGATCAATGGTTTTAATTCATCATTATAAGGAACTTATATGAACATTCAAGATATCCACAATTCTACATCTCTACATCTTTTCTCATCTATATCTTTTCTAGCCACAACTTGTTCAGTGGCGAAAGTACAGTGGCAATTGGCTCAGTGACAAAGGTACAGTGGCCATGGGCTCAATGGCAAGGGGTTCAGTGGCATAAGTAGTAGCAATGGGTTCACTGGTAACGGGTTCATGGGCAGAGATACAGTGGCATCAGGCTCATTGGCAACGGTTCTATGGCAAATATTTAGTAGGAGCGCATTAAACAAATTTAGTACGGATATTACGACAAGAACTTTGATTTTATTCAGACAAAACTGGTATGAAGCTTGATCCAATGGCTCTTTGTAGCTTTGAAGTCTATATAATGGAGTCTCAACTCTTCGAAGTTTGTATACAATCTTTAAGGACACTTTCAAATAGTTTTCAATAGTATTCAATAGCATTAATGCGAGGCTGCGACGGGTATTCAGTCATTTTTACACGATTACGAGAATTTTTTTTTTATTTCCTATGGATAAAAAGGCGTACACAGGAGGCGCTGACCTGTTCGTGGCGAGCACCTCGCAGAGGGACCGGTAAAGTTAAATTAGAATAAGTAATTAATTTAAATAATAATTGTGCTAATTTGATAAGCCTGCTTCTTAACAAAATTTTCCAATGGAGAAGTTTATTGTTCCTGTTTGAGATGTTAATTGTGAACGAGGGAAAGTGCAAGGCTTCTAGACAATAATTTTCAACAATTAATCAATGTTATTTATTTCTAACATGTAAGTGGCTTGAATCGTGGCCATGTAACTCCAGGAGGATGGCCTGGGGGGTCGAGTGGTGCTGCAGCAAGCGATCATATAAAACTACGAAGAAAGCAAACGACGAAACGTAGAAATCTGAACGTAAAAAGCCAAATCTCTACCCAGAACAAAATTTCGCTTGATAAATGATCTTAAATCTCTTCAGGCTAAGATGTTGCAGGCAAACAATTCAACAGACCATTATTAATTTTTCGATCGAATAATATCATTGCTTTATATTTAACCAGGATGGAATTCCTGGAATGATGATTCGCATATTCAAGGTCGATACAGCCCGGTAACTTGATCATTTCTAAAGTATAAGATAAATATAGAAATTTTTTGTTAGTATATTAGATCCAATATATGTTCACTTGCTCTTATACTACCCCTCCTGATCTAATATTTGTTCATTGGCAGCTTATATTACCACTCCTGATCCAATATTCGTTCCCTTGCTCTTATACTACCCCTCCTGATCCAATATTTGTTCACTTGCTCTTATATTACCCCTCCTGATCCAATGTTTGTCCACTTGCTCTTATATTACTCCTCCTGATCCAATATTTGTCCACTTGCTCTTATATTATCCTTCCTGATCCAATATTTGTTCACTTGCTCTTATATTACTCCTCCTGAATTCTAACCTGCATCTAACCAACTGTGGTTGAGCCTATAACGGCATCTGCGGAAAGTTTTTCGGACCTAGAGAACCACCCAACCACATACTAGTTACAGGTCTCTTCTTAATTAAGTGAAACATCAACATAAATTGACAAAATGGAACGAAACGTATCTTTAAGATTACGATTGAAAGCTATATTGCTGCTTATAAGGAAATGCATAATCCGTAAATCGTTATTATTTCAAGTAATACTTCTTGGTACTTGTTTCGGACGTAGCAGTCCCAGGCCCCGATGGATCGCCGCCCGCCTCTGATATAGACAAGTCGCTAAGCCTATTTTCCGCTTTTTAATACCTGTACGTAAAATTTAAATGATCGTCGAACTAAGACATTGAATATTTCAGTGTATCAAGCTTAACATCAACATAACAACAAACGGGAATAAATGTCAAATGAAAATACATTACATTTTAGTACAAATTCAAATATAACCTTCAATAGACAATTCTAATTTCAATGCAAATATAACACGATATTAGTAGCAGTCGGTAGTAACACTGAAACTAACTTGTAACTCGCGTACTCTAAAATGTTACATTGTAGGGAACGATGCTGAGAGTAAATCATTTGAATGACTAACGCTGGTCTTCTAAGTGAAAAATCAAACCAAAATAAGTGTAATCGATTCATTTCTCTTTTGAGTTCTCTACTCCAAACTATGTTATGCGTTATGCCCGTTCAAAAGTTTCAAGATACATGAATGATGAACTCTACGCTGTTAACACTATTCCTTTATATGGGATACTTACTAACTTTAAAAAATTCGTTACAATGCAGCTCATGGAAAAAAATGGTTCGTATGGCTCTTCTAGTCTGATGCTTACTTTTGCTCAACGTTTCATATCCATTGATAAATGTTGGTGATTGAAATCTTGGTACGTTGAGAACCAGGTTGAATATCCCCACAAGCTGACGTCAGGTGGGCTGAATTGGGTTCGTGGAACAGCACCCGAATACTTGGTATCTTCTTCAGTAGCTGACGTCAGGTGAGCTGAGTCGGGTTCGTGGAACAGCACCCGAATACTTGGTATCTTCTTTAGTAGCTGGCGAGCGCCTTTGTCTGTAAGGCCATCCCTCGGCAGAACCAGATCCACCCTAGTGTGAAATATAACGAGCAATAAATTAAATGTTCGTTTGAGTTTGTAACTTTGTTAAGCTCATTCACAAGTGAAATTATCATATAAATAGCTTTTAAGAAACGCTTCTATTAGAAGTGCTTAGCCAGTTCCTCATCTCATTAGCCAGTTGGCTCTAATCTCATTCATACAAATAAATGCAGGGAAAGTTTTGCCTTACTTACTCTGCCCAAAAAACTGAAAAAGGGAAGCGATTTTCAATCACTAGCATTCGTTTTATAAAATATTTGGTAGTATAAATATATTTGGTTTTATCTAACCTCCCATTTCTATCGAAATTCGTTAAAGAATCTGTCTAAGTTGAATAAAATAGGAACTCAATTGTTTTGCAATATGAATCTTAGTATACGATTTATACGACGCTTATGATGAATTTTCAAGGAAGATCAGGAAATTTGTTGGAAGTCGGTTTTCTTCATCAAAGGATGAAACTCTTTTAGTTTAATTAACTTATATTCTAAGAGATTTTTTGGTACTCAAATTTTATGATTGATGAGTGCATCGTATTTTATTTGGCCTGCGTTTCTGTGTCGTATGTGGTAAAAGTTAATAAAGAGAAGTTATAGGTAACTTGGCCTCGAGAAGGATCGCAATTAACTTACGTGGAGAGGACAGGCCCACTGTACCGGCCAACTGGCTGGATTAATTGATGAAGGGCGGCAGGATGGGCGACACCCAGTCGACGTCCTCGTCTCTCAGGTCAGGGAAGTTCCAGCGGGTGACCGCACAGCCGAGGGCATCTAGGGTCGTGCCAGCGTCGCTCGGGGCTCCTTTGACGCAACAGACATTAACTGTTGGATGACGGGAACCTTTGTCAAGCAAATATATTGACTTTAAGCGAATAATTCTTTGAGAGAATTTGTGTAT